ATATACACACATATATATATACATACATATACACACATATATATATATTTTGTTTTTACTCTGTCAAATTAAATTTCTGAATAAAAACACTGAGAAAAATAAACGTGGCAGAGACGATACAAGCGTTAAATATTAAACGTTTTCTGAATCTGAAGCCGTATTTTTTGTCCAAACACGACGTTTGTTTCAAAGTTTTTACTTGAACTCAGTTTACGATTAATTCAGCCGACAGTGTTCAGAACGCGTCGTTCTCTGACCCGGTTTAGTCTGGATTATTTTAACGACGAGTGTTATCAAACGACCTGTTTTGAACAGAACCAGGCCGAGTTCGTTCATTTATTACAAATTACACGGTCGATGTGTTTCAGTGATTTTTAACCGTCGGTGGTGGACACCGCTAACGCTAAACCGCTAACGCTCGGACGACCGTCACGCTGTCGCACAAATTCGTCTCCCTCCAGTTGAAGCTGCGATCGATCAATCACGTCTCGCCCGGACCGACTCTTAAGACACGCCCACAACTGACAGGAACAGACTTCAAAGTGGGCGAAACAATTTAGTGGAAGCTAATTCTGCTAACGGTACATAGTTAACACAAACATTAATCTTTGAAACAAACAATTAGTTCTGCAGACAACCACAAACTTTTGTGACAGCGAATATGACTGTGAAGAGCGCGTGCGTGCGTGCGTGCGTGCGTGCGTGCGTGAACACATACAATGTGCAGGAAGTCCAGCGCTGTGGCGGTGTGCAGATCCCAGTTCAGTTTGTCCAAGATGATCCTCTCCATCCTCAGGATCTCTGACGGAGAGCAGCCACACTCACTGGAGGCAGCCAGCTCCTTCAGAGAGGGAACACACTGACACACACACACACACACGTTGACCCGTCTGATCCTCCACGTGCGCTGTAACGTTTGTGATCAATCCTCGTGCGCTCACCTCGTCCTCCTCGCAGGTTTTAGCTGCCAGGAAGAAGCAGGCGATGGCGATGCAGCGCAGGTACTTGGGCCGGGCCTGAAAACAGCAGCAGGTCCGAGTCAGATGCTGGAACCAGCTGATGACGACACACCAAACAAAACTCTGACGATAAAAGGTTTGTTTCCGTTCATAAGCTCGGCAGGTTAGTTAAAAACACCCGATGTTTGTTTGTTTGTTTGTTGTTGTTCTGATCTGATGCTACAGAGTCCTGGACAGAACAGGAAGCTGCTCCCTGTCAAAATTAAAGTCCTACAAAGCTCCGTCTCACCTTGTGCATATTTTCCTAACAGAGCACTTTGCCCTCAGACTACAGGTTTACTTGAGGTTTCTAGAGTTCTACAATTGTGGCTGCACGTTGGAGCTTCTGTAACAACTCTTGAATGAAACCAGGATGAGCAGCTACGACATTTAATTTCCCTTTGGGATTAATGAAGTATGTTTGAATTGAATTTGGATTAAAGGTAGAATGGGAGGCGGAGCTTTCAGTTCTCTGACTCAAACTTCCAGTTTCTGTGCGTGAGGCAACACTTTGTCTGAAGGGAAAGACTTCAGCCTAATCTTAAAATAGGGCCCAAAAGTCTCAGGTTCAATTCCCAGCCTTGCCCACATGTCGTGGTGTCTCTGAGCAAGACCCCTAATCCTTAACTGCTCCCAAGCGCTTAGAGCTGCCCACTGCTCCACCTGGATGTCTCTCAGGTGTGATGGTTAAGTGCAGAGAACTAACGTCGCTGTTGTTTGAGACGTACAGTGACGACAGCACGTCACTTTAACAGTAGTTGGGGTCGGCTTGGGTTTCCTCAGTTATCCCTTAGTTCTGCTGCTATAGGCTTAGACTGACCACATGTCCTCACTCTGCTGCTGCTTTCACTTACTCGTCTATTCAAGTTTGTATTTCTGTCATTAATGTTTTTCTTTGTTTACACCTCGACCACAGGAGCCACACCTGGACCACAGGAGCCACACCTGGACCACAGGAGCCACACCTGGACCACAGAAACCAGCACCTGTTCTGGCACCAGGACAAGTCATTCGGTCTCTTAACTCCAGCCAGTGGAGCCACAGCGGTCTCTCCTGAACCTGGTTCTGGTCCTGCTGGAGGTTTCTTCCTGTTGAAGGGAGTCACTGCTCAGGGTGGGAGGTTGAGATGAAGATGAACATCTTCAGCCTCTTCCATAACTTGTAGAACGTGTGTGAAAGGTTTTGTGTCCTGAGATGTTTGTTGTTATAAAAATAAACCGGTCTAAACTGTCCGCATCAGTTTGGACCACCTGACCCGGCTCCTGCTGGACCCCTGAAGCTCTGCTGGCTTTAAAGACTCGACGTTCATAAATTCTTCTACAAACGGTGAACGTTGGTCCAGTTTGTCCTCGTGTCTGTGAATGTTTTTGTTTTCAGAAGTCAAAGATTCGTTGCGCTGTACCTTGATGGGAGCCAGGAAGCGGTCGAGGACGCTCACGGCCAACGCCAGGGTTTCTGGGTAGAGCCGCAGGTCACTGTGGAGCGCCGTCAACCAGCGGACCGCCTCGTCCCTCTGGGCCGGGGAGACGTCTGCATCCTGTAAACAACAAACAAACAACCTGATGGACTTCAAAGACAACAAATATTACAAAATAACCGTCCTACAGCAGATTGTTGAAGCTCGGGGTCAGTGAACGTGTCGTCAGGTAAACGGCAGAAGTCGCATCATTTGATGCAAACGGTTGAAATCATTGATTTGTTGGCAAAATAAATAAAAACATTTGGTGGAAATAAAATATTGTCTTTCATTTCAAACATCCACATAACCGGGACCTAAATATAAATCTGTGCAACTTTCTTCCTTTTGTTTTGTTTACGAGTTTAGACGCCAACGCAGAGAATATTTCTGACGGTGCGTTCATGATGAGTGGGAATTTATCATTTTCTCCCACTGCAGCTCGATCAACTCATTAGTATGCTGTTTATCTCCGTACGTTCTACTTTCCCAGGTTCAGTGAACGCAGCATGAGTTTACTGCTCTAAACGGACAAAGTGCTTGTGGTGGTTCTTGACTGAGCCGTTTAAAGTCCAAATTTTATCGCCTGAAACAACAGGAACGAGGTTTTAATCCTGAACACGGCCTCCATCTTTGACCTCTGACCTCCTCAGCGTGGTAAAGTTTGAAAAAGCCTCGTTTTGTTGACAACGTCATGGCTACAAAAACAAAAAACTGCCTCCGTCTGTGTTTTAGCAGCTGATTTTCCTAAATATTTATTTTAATGTTTGTCACTTTGTACGTCACCCATCCTTCTGGAGTTATCGAGCACCGTAAAAGGAGATGAACGGTTCAGATTTATTTCTCTGGGTTGAGGCTGATTTGGCGCCGACGCTGAACTAGAAGCAGCTGATGTCAAAGGTCAAGAGTCCAACGGGTCCGGTCCGTGAGTTAAACTGTAACGTGACACCGTGTGGCAGCTCGGATCTTCTCTCCCCAAACTGAAAAAGAAAACGGGTCCGTTTCCAACAGTCTGCCGGGTTTTTTCTTCCAGAGCGTCACGGTCGAGTCCTCCGTTCATTCGTGATGTTGGGGAAGCTCTCGGGTGTGACGGGACGTTCTGAGACGACCCGGAGCTTTGCTGTACAACCGAGCCCTTTAACCCTCATTAAACCTGCAGCGGCTCTTACGCCTGTACTTCCTGTCTACAAACCCGGCTGAAGAGTCTGAAATGGATCCTGGATGATCCGGTTCCAACAGAAAGTTCCTTGCCAGAAGTGAAGCTGCAGATCTAAAACTAAAATCCTGGCGGAGTCTCTCAACAATAAAATGTGTCCGCTCCAAACGAACCTGGAGTCCTGTCACACCACGTTAAACAGAAATAAGAACCGATTGTTTAGGTTCATGTCGGTTTAAAGGAAACTGCGACAAGACGGATCTGGAGAACAATGTTCTGAAGTGGACTCCAACGATTCCTGCTCTTCGACGTGTCCTCAACCCGCCCTGTGCTCCCTCCTGAGGTTGGGTCCGTTTCAAACTTTCAACTCGAGATGCAAACAATGAATGTGAAACACTGAGCTCAGACAGAATGTGGTAGTAGCTGAGAGTTGCTCCCAACACAGTGACAGATTCACAGAACAGCAGGAGATTGTGGATTATTAAAATATAACTATTTTTCATCAAGACCTTAGTCTAAAGCAGAGGTTCCCAACACTTCTCCTTGAGGAACACCATCGTGCATGTTTTAGTCGTTCTCCTACACCTGATTTCAACAAATGGGTAATAACTGACTTCTGCAGAATGTGAGGAAGTATCAGGTGTGTAGGCACCTGGGGAGCAATTAGGGATTAGGTCAAGTCAAGTCAAGTCATCTTTATTTGTAGAGCACAATTTAAAACAGATAAACTGTTATCAAAGTGCTTAACAGAAATGTAGCAAAACATAGGCAGCAAAACAAAAAACATCATACAGAATTAAAATTACTGGAGCAATAACACACACTAATGATCACACTAAGGAAAAACAAGCAGTAAAAATAAACGTCAATCATAAAACAACAGAATTTAAAATGAGGTAACACAGAACAAAATAAACTAACTCACACAGTATTAAACGCCAGAGCAAACAGGTGCGTTTTAAGGAGGGATTTGAACATCAGGAGGGAGGAGGCCTGCCTGATGTTGAGGGGCAAGTTGTTCCACAGGTTGGGACCTCTGACTGAAAAAGCTCGATCCCCTCGGAGCTTCAGGCGTGATTTTGAAACGACCAAAAGAAGCTGGTCCGATGATCTCAGGGCCCGAGACGGAACATATGGTTCCAGGAGCTCGGAGAGGTAGAGGGGTGCGAGGCCATTTAGGCACTTATATGTCAGGAGGAGAATCTTGAAGTCGATTCTGGATCGCACAGGAAGCCAGTGAAGGGAGGACAGAACAGGTGTGATGTGCTCAGACCTACGTGTACCAGTTAAAAGCAGAGCAGCTGCATTTTGGACGAGCTGGAGACGTGAAATGGACGCCTGACTGACCCCAGCATAAAGTGAGTTACAATAGTCCAGGCGGGTTGTGATGAAGGCATGGACTAATGTTTCAAGGTTGGGTCTGGATAACACTGGCTTGAGCTTAGCTACCTGCCGCAGTTGGAAACAGAATATGGTGTAACACCGGGTCCAATGACCGAACCAGAACCAGCTCCTCTGAACTTGTTTCACAAACAAAAAGCAAAAAATATTAAATCTCTAAACGTATAAAAAACCTATAAACATATTAATCTCTAAAACTAAACCTAATGCGCAGCGGGCGGTGGTGCGGGGTGGTCGACCCCCCACTGTTTTTATTTTTTACGTGCCGCACGTTTCTTTCACTTTTGCAGCTTAATAATAATAAGAACTAATAGTTTTGGTTTTCCTGTGCAGTATGATAAATTGTAGGGGCATAATAAATGCTCGTAATGTTTGGTTGGTCTTGTTTTTTAGTAAATAATAACTTTTTTTGCAGTTTTATTTATTTATATATTTTTGCATCTTTAGATCTTATGACGTCATCAACTACTCGAGTTCTACTCGAGTTTTATTATGTTAATGTTGAGTTTTAAAATTATGCATTTGTTCAACCCCTAGTCTCTGAGCAGGACACCTAATCCCCAATTGCTCCCCTGTCGCCTACAGAGCTGCCCACTGCTCCACCTGGGTGTATCTCAGGTCGGGGGGGTTAAATGCAGAGAAGTAATTTCACCATTGCATGAGAACATACGCTGATGACAACACACGGTACTTTACTTTACTTTCCTTGGAGCAGGGAAACAAGTGAAACCTGCAGGATGATGTTCCTCCAGGACCGAGGTTGGGAACCTGGTCTAAAGGCTGGACCGCCTGTGCGTGATAGAGCTTTGTAAACAAGTTGACCTGCTGTTTGTCGTCTCAAACCGATCAATGGATAACTTATAAACAAATAAACAAACAGTGGCAGCACGATGACCCAGTTGCTCCTGCGAGCCGCGGTGCTTCCCACAGATTCAGTTTCACTTTCAGAACCACGCCAGGATCAAAAGGAATGCTGGGTTTGAAACTGTTCGGGTTTTTCCTGTTTTCACTGACGCAGATGAAGGTCAGAAATCAGCTGGAGGGGTGTCATGGAGGTAAAAATAGAAAGTACAGCACCTCGTTGAGTCACCGTGAGAACAAAGGTAAACACACACGTCTTCTAGGACCGTCCAGGTAAAGGCTCACCTGTGAGGAGGGCTTCTTGGGCACGTAGACCGTCCACATCCTGGCTTCCCTAGAGGCGGCCTTCTCTAGCAGAAAGGCCAGCCTCTGGCGTCCCCAGGGTTGGAACAATTTCATCCTGTCCTCCCCAGGTCGAGCCTACCTCCCCACTGGATGCAGCTACCTGCAGGGCGACACGTCAGACTCGGGTTCAAACACCAACATTTACTGGTTTACGTCAAAATTTACACCAAGTTCTTGAGAGTCGGACTGTCGGTGTGGTTTAAGGTTTTAGTTTCAGAGCCCTGACTCGGGTCTTGGTCAGGCTGCAGTACTTTTCATTCAACCTTTATTTCTACAGGTTAGTCCCACTGAGCCTCATTTACAAGGGAGAGCTGTTTTAACAAAGAGTGATTGGACAATCATTAAAGAAAGCGTACTAATGAGAGCCAATGAAAGAAAATGGTCTTAAAAAACAGCTGGCTTGTAATGCGGAGTAGAAAACTAAAACTAAAACGTTAGTTTTGCCATGAACTTATCAGATGTTTGAAGCCACTTCGAGAGCTTCAGATCTTTTTGATCTCCGTCGCCCTGAAACTGAATAAACCTGCTCTCACCTGACAACACGACTTAATGTTTTTATCTTGTTTATTTTACCATTAAACAGCTATGACTGGTCCATGTTTGTTTCCAACCACAGACCCAAACATGAGTTTAGTTCAAGCTTAAAGTTTAGCTCACGCTGCAGCCGAAGAATGAGCTCCTGAAACAGAACGAACGGGTTTAAACGACAACAGAAACAGATTTTTCACAGAATAAAGTCATTTAGGGTTTTAACACATCGTTGCAGCAATTTGCCACATTGGACTTTTGTTAGATTCCTTTAGACCAGGCAGTGAACTCTGGACTTATTATAAAACATCTGCGCAGCTTTTTATCTGTCAGGAGGCACAAAAAGGTAAATTTACAGAGTAAACAAGGAAAATAACATTTAACACTTAAATTCCTGCAGCAGTTTGAGGCAATATGAGATTTTATGCTCTAATATACAGGTGCTGGTCATAAAACGAGAATATCATGAAAAACATGATTTAATTCAGTAATTCTATTCAAAAAGTGAAACTTGTATATTATATTCATAATTTTAATATTAATATAACATAATAATATTGATGATTATAACAGACAACTAGTACAAACACCTAATTCAGTATCTCAGAAAATTAAAATATAGTGAACAGGATCAATATTGAAGAACCTGGTGTCACACTCTGATCAGCTGATTAACTCCAAACATCTGTAAATGGTCTCAGTCTGGTTCTGTAGCTGCACAATCATGGGGAAGACTGATGACTGGACACTTGTCCAAAAGACAACCATTGACACCTGCACAAGGAGGACAACCCGTCAACAGAACTGAGCACCCCACCTACCAAACCGAACTCCCCCACACAGCGCCAAGCTAGCTGCGCGCAATACAGGCGCTCTAGCTAAAAAGCTAAAGGTTCCTCTTCCCTCGTGCTACCCCCCCCCCCCCCACACACACACACACCCACTCAAAAACAGTTGTACAAGCTGCACTGAGACATATCTCCGTCCCTCCCGTCAACAAAAATCATGGATTAGATGAGCGCCCCGCCATGGTGAGTTAACTGGGGGAACACTGCAGACGTGTGCAGGACATGGGGTCCAGCTGTCTCGTTCCTTGTGTCGAGCCACTCTTGAACAAGAGGCAGCGTCAGAAACGTCTCACCTGGGACTGATGCTGAGCGGTCCAAAGTTCTGTTCTCTGATGAAAGTACATGTTGCATTTCTTTTAGAAATCCAGGGCCCAGAGTCTGGAGGAAGAGGAGAGGCACAGAATCCATGTTGCTCCAGGTCCAGTGTCAAGTTTCCACAGTCAGTGATGGTTTGGGGCCACGTCTTCTGCTGGTGGTGGTCCACTGTGTTTTCTGAGGTCAAGGGTCAGCGCAGCCATCACCAGGAAGTTTTAGAAACTTCCTGCTTCCAGCTGCTGACCTGGTTTAAGGACTATGGTGTCCATGTTCTTAACTGGCCAGCAACCTCGCCTGACCTTAACCCCATAGAAGATCTATGGAGTATTGTGAAGAAGATGTGATACACCAGAGCCAACACTTCAGAAGAGCTGAAGGCCACGATCAGAACAACCTGGACTCTCAGAACCTGAGCAGAGACACAGACTGATCCACTCCATGACACGATGCACTGATCCAGAGATCCAGACACAAGGAGCAACAACTAAGTACTGATGCTGAACATGCTCATATTGAGTATATATATATATATATATATATATATATATATATATATACACACATATACATATTGAATATGATCTTATTGAGCATGCATCAGGAGAACATGATCATACTTTTCTAAAAATCATTGTTTTTATTGGTCTTAAGTAATATTCTAATTATCTGAGATACTGAATTTGGGGTTTTCATTAGTTGTCAGTTATAATCATCAACATTAAAAGAAATAAACATTTAAATATATCAGTCTGTGAGTAATGAATTAATATAATATACAAGTTTCACTTTTTGAATGGAATTACTGAAATAAATAAATAAAATTTTACGACCAGCACTTTTATGTATGTATGTATATATATATATATATATATATATATATATATATATATATATTTGTATGGATGTTTACTAACATTTTACTTGATCTAAGAACGAAATTTAAGTTCGTCATCGCTGAAACCACAAATCTTTTTACGTTTTATTTGTTTTGCTTTCAGTTGTAGTTTATTCAGCCTATTTCAGATGCTGACAGTGACTCTGGTGAGTTATTAAAATGTTAAATTAATGTAAAACAGACGGAACCTCCGACAGAATTCTGGTTTTACAGAATTTATCTTCAACCTCGAAGCGCAGGAACGCTTGTTAAAATGAACCCGACTAATATCTGGAGCGGAGCTAGCTTGACGCGCTACCAAGCTAAAGAGCTACAATTACAGTTTAGTTAAAATAAATGCATATACACCCAGCTCAGTGTTTGCTTTTAATATTAAATAACACAAAATAAGGTGCTTACATTGTGCTTTAATTGTGAAAGCAGCAAGTGACGTTTATATGTGCGACTCGAATCCAGTAATTACACGGAGCCCTACCTCCCCTGCGAAGCGGAGAAAACCACAGTTGGGTTTCATCCGGTCCTCTCGATCCGAGGCTGGAGAAAGACGGGCGGAATCGAGTACCCGAACCCCGGTTTAGTCGTCCATGGTGCGAAGTGTCAGGGAAGGGGGTCGTTACAAAAACCACTTTAAAAGAAATGAACGGAACATGGACGGACGCGCCTACTTCCGAGGAAGGGACCCTGGTGGAAGGAGACGCTGCTAGGCTCCGCCCGCCTGCGGAAGGAGCGGCGTTGCGTAACAATCCCAAGAAGGGGTCTCTGCAGGCAAATTCGGAAGGCGTATCTGGGCGCTCATATCTGATTGGACTATAGGAAAGTGGGCGTATCTGGGCGGTCATATCTGATTGGACGATAGGAAAATGGGTGTTTCTGGCCGGCCGGATCTGATTGGACGATAGAAAAATGGGCGTGTCTGGACGGCCACATCTGATTGGACGATAGAAAAATGGGCGTGTCTGGACGCCCACATCTGATTGGACGATAGAAAAAAAAGGCTGAACGATAGAAAAAAAAAGGCTGAACGATAAAATGCCGTAACCACAGACACATGATGTCTAAAAACAAGGCGTTATTGGCAGATTGTGTTAACCACAGGCATATTATGTCTATGGTGTTAACCGGTTCGACATTAGCGGCGTCTCGGTTCGACATTGCTCCAGTATACTGCCGCGGCGTCTCCATAACTTCTTTTTTCGACTCTCTTAACACAGAACTTCCGGTTACATTTCAAAATAAGAGCAACATAACTGGGTAGTGGGGAGAGCTAAATGTTAGGTTTTTTTTTAATACCTAGCCATAACATTAAAAAAACAAATTCCATTTTGGTTGTTGAAAAATGTGAACAAAGTTACAATCGATTCATAAAGAAAGAAAAATATTAATGATACTTAAACTGGCCTTGGGACAAAGGAGGTTTCCTTTAACTTCACATTTTCTTGTTCAACCTGCAGTCACTGCAGATGAGTGATTGTCAGTTTCTGTAAGATTTCTGCACCTGGAGCAGGTATTCTGTTTACTGGTTAACTTCCTCAGCTGTCTCACATTTTAAAGGTCAACCCTACTCCATGTTTCAGTAGAAAACCAGCACATTTAGGAGCCAGTACATAACCAGACTTTTGGCCCTCACACCTGTACCCAGTTGCTTATGCTGCATGATGAGATCAGATTTATCCATATTTTAGAAATTACATTTAGCTTAGTCGACAAAACAATACAAATGAAGACCGTCTTAAAAAACCTCTTGGTTTTGCAGTAAGCAGCCTGATTTCAAACTGACATCTTGACCAAAGGTAAAATAAAAATCTTTGTGTTCTCAGAAAAGTTGTTTCAGGACCTCCAATAAACTTATGTACACATCAAAGCACACAAGACAGATTCAGGAATTGTCTTTGTTTTCCAGATTTCACATTTGTTATTACCTTAAAACATACTCAGACAACATTTGATGCATCATTGAATTTTTTTTATTGTTTATTGGGACATCCATTTTTAGAAGTCATCGTAGCATCTGTTGGAAACACAGAACATAGTACAGTTAGGGTGTTGCTAGTTGTTACTTAATCCTGGATTGGATTTTAAAGTTAATTTTGATATTTTTTTCACAAGAAAAAAAAAGTTGATTTCCTAAAGTTTAACTATAAATGAAGGAATTTGTGCATTCAGGTAATTGAAAATTAAGTAATTTCTCTAACATCCAACCCATTTTAGCCACTGAGCCATACCAAACACCCATAATCTATTCTTGAATGAATTATTGACTATTATTGACAAATTACAGACTTTTTATTGAATAAGTTATTACTCATTATTGAGTAATGAAAGTCAACATCAGATGTTGGTCAACATTGTTGGGCAACATCTTGGGGTCTTCTAGAGTCAGTCTGAAGTGAGAGTGGTCCCTGACATGGCAGAAAGACATAGATATAATTAACAGCTTTTATTTATTTATTTTTCAGCTAATAACAACTTTTATTTATTTATTTTTTTCATATTTTTCAGTTATACACAGCTTTTAAATATTTATTTTTCAAGTATTAAGAACTTTTATTTTCAGCTTTTATTTTGAAAAGGAGCCGAGTGGAGGCTCACTTTACCTCAGTGTGTTACGACAACAACGAGAGAACGGTCGAAACTATCGTGACCTACAATAAACGTACTTCAATAAAATGCATAAGTGAAAACATAACATACTTTATAAGTACAATAAACCATATTTCTTTGTCAAATATCGCAAAGAAACGTTACCTCATCAATGACTCGTGACTTTGAGGGTTACCCACAGCCAATCAGTGTTCGCCGCCGACAAACGCCTATTAAATACTGTTAGCCAATCAGTGTTCGCCGTCCATAAACGCCTATTCGCCAGAAACGCCCACTTTTGGTCTGCAGAGACCCCCTTCTCAACAATCGCACCTTTCGTGATTAATTTAGTTTGAAAACCAAATAAAAACAAATTATTTTAATAATGTTTTGAGACTGAGACTCCAAATGTCTCGAGATGTGCCTAAAAAAACAACTAGATGTTTTGGAGAAATACATGTAAACATTAAGTGTTTACTTAGCTAATAATAAAAAAGCAGAACATTAAATAAAAGCAAAACAAACAAAATGTAAAAGAACGAAAAGATGGCTAAAAAAGATCAAAAGGAGTCAAACAACAACTAAAAGCACAAACATTTAAAATGGGAAAGTAGCAAACATTCAGCAACATAAGAAGTAAAAGCTAAAATGAGTTAAACAAGAGCTAGAAACTAAAAAAGGAGCAAAATGACAACTAAAACCCCAAACTGGCAAAATGCAAGCTGCAAAAAGCTAACCAATAGCTAAAAGCTAAATGTTGCAAACATCTAGCAAAGAGTAAAAGTAGCAAAATGACAGCTAAATGCTAAATGAATCAGAAAACTTGGTAAAAGCTAAAAAAAAGAACACAAAATAATGGCTAAAGAAAGCAGAACACTACCTAAATGCAAAAAGTAGCAAAAGGCTAGCAACAAGATAAAAGTAGCTAAATGGAAGTTAAATACTACATGTAGCAAAAGAATAGCCACAAGTTAAAAGTAGTAAAATTGTAGCCATATGCTAAATATAGCAACGGCTAGCTACAAGTTAAAAGCTGCAAAATGGTAGCTAAATGCTAAATGTAACAAATGCTAGCTACAAGTTAAAAGTAGCTAAATGGTAGCTAAATGCTAAATGTAGCAAAAGGCTAGCTATAAGTTAAAAGTAGTAAAATTGTAGCTATATGTGAAAGGTAGCAAATGGCTAGTTACAAGCTAAAAGTAGCAAAATGGTATTTAAATACTACAGGAAGTAAAACACTACCTAAAAGCTAAAAGAAGCAAAACAAAACCTAAAAAGAATAGAACCTGTGAAAAAACCTCTACCCTAACCCAGATAAAATCAGAACACTGCTTAAATGCTAAATGTAGCAAAAGTCTTGCTAAAAATGCACAACTGAAAATAAAACTAAATGAGCAAAAAGTTAGCTGATAGTACAAGTAGCCAAATGGTAGATATAAGATAAAAGTAGCAAAGAGCTACTTAAACACAAGTTTAGCAAAAATCTAAGAGTAGCAAAAGCTTAGCTAGTTTTGGCATATATGTGTTTTTAATGACAGTTTTTTTTGGCACCATCTTAATTAGGGTTGACTCTTAAAGTTAATCAAATTATAAAGTTAATCAGGGAAGCTCAGTCCTCACCTCCTTCTCCAGGTGTGCAGTGGAGAGCATCCTGTGCTCCAGCATCAACGTGTGGCATGGAGGCTGCACAGCTGCAGAAAGAAAAGCTTTGCAGAGAGTGGTGAAGGCTGCACAGAAGATGTTGGAGTCAGTCTCCCCACCATCACAGACATCTACACCTCCAGATGCAGGAAGAGGGCCACCTGCATCATGAAGGACCCCACTCACCCAGCACACACACTTTTTGCCCCGCTCCCCTCAGGAAGGAGGTTGAGGAGCATTAAGTGTAGAACCACTAGACTGAGGAACAACTTCTACCCTGAGGCTGTTAGGTTCATGAATCTCTAACCAGAATAATCACTGTGATGCCACTTGATTGTTGATATGTGCTGCTGATCTCATGCTGCTGATCTCATGCTGCTGATTTATTTCATGCTCATTCGTACTCATCTGCTCACACAGACTCATGTTCGTGCTGCTGTTGTTCGGAGTATTGTTTCTGTACTAGTGCTTAGCGTATTCTTAGTTCATATCTTAAATCTTATTACAGTTTCTATTTACAATTTATACTGTTGTTGGATGATACTGGGACCCTGTGTACACAAGTTCATTCCACCACATGTACCACATATGATAAGAATGACAATAAAGAACCTTGACCTTGATTTAGTAGAACATACAACGATTACCTTCTGTTACGTCCTGTATGAGCTTGTGAGATATTTTGCTAACAAAAAAGCACAAACATCCGGGGATACTGTGTCTCTAACAGACTTGAATGTTCAACGTACTGTATGTGCTCTAGAGTCCTACACAAAACAACAAATTATCATTTTAAAGGTTTTAATTTGTGAAAACAGCTTGTTGGACGTGTGTATTGTTCCAATAATTGTATTATTATTTAATTCTAAACTGTTTAAACCACCTTACATACGCTGCTGTTTTCAACTCTCCAGCATAGTTGGACTTAAAGAACATTTTATGTCTTTGTTTGTGGCATTTTTGTTGAACACAGTAAATCAAAGGCTGTCGAAAGGCAATATTGCGTCAGGAAGCGTTACATCAACCAACCAATCACAGCAGACCATTTTAGGCGGACTATTTGAACGTCCCGAACTGTGGCCTGATGATTGGTTAATGGAAACGTCAATCAAGAAGGTGCCTCTCACGTATCACACTTTCAGCTCTCATCGCAAATAGGAATCGTGGTTCGATTCAAAATTGATTATAAACTTAAAATGTACACCTTTACGAGTTTAGTGGATAAAAAAAGCAAAAAATAAGAAAAAACTTTTATCAGAGGCTTTACTCTTTTCGGTCAAAGCCGACGGGGGGCGGTATCTCGGGCTGGATCCAGGGCTGTGATTGGTTGTTTCTGTTCGACAAGTAAATATGGGCGTGGTTAGTCAACATCAACAAAAGAGAAAAGAAAAGAGAGAAGACCCAGAAACAGCTGAGACAAGACGGCGGATATGTGGATTTAACGGGAATAATAACAGGTAAATAAACCTTTTAAACGCGATATTATTGTTTTTAATACACTGACACTGTCAGTTTAATGAGTTATCTTTGGCTTCATTGCGGTTTTACTTCTAAAAACGTAAAAAAAAATAAACAATAGGCGTTTGATAATATACATGAATACCGGTTTTCATTAAAACTGCTATTTTAATTAAAATAATCAAGGGCTCTTGTAATTCTTAGGTATTTATTTTGTAAAGATGAGCTCTGGAACAATGAAAAAAGAAGAAAAATGTATTTATTGTGATTATTTGATCGATTAAAATCATCTTTTTGTTTCTTTTCCTCGCTCGTCGCAGTAAAATGTTACGTTTTTGCTCCAAAAATCGAGAAACGTTGGAAGTTTTTGTTAATTCGGTGTCATTTTAGGAGATTATTTTGTTTAAGGGATGATTTAAAAATCTCTTCCCCTCCCCCACCCCGACCCCGGAGGGGATTTTAAAACGTTAGCCTGTTAGCTCCTTCGGCTAAACTCCACTTTTACCGGTAAAAGTCGGAGAAAATTATTTATTTACGACGTTTAGTTCGACGATTAACCGACCGAACCTGTGAAGAAATGCAGCTGTTTGCGGGTCAGAGGACGGGGAGGGAGCCGACCGGAGGAAATCCGACACCGGAGCTCAGCTGAAGGTGGGCCGGGCTTGGAGCTCCCTGCCCCGGCTGCATTAGCAACCAGAGGCCGGTGCTTTACATAACAACAAACACGGAGGAAAAGAGCTAAATTTAAACTTTTTATCTTATTTATATTGTAATTAACACGGAATCAACCTAAATGTAACTGCGTCTTCATTGCTTTTTACTGTTTAGTGGAAAATGTGGGGGGGAAGTGTTTAATAAAGTAACTATTTTAACATTTTAAAACTTATTTACGGTTCGGTTAACGGGTCAAACTGGTATTATATAGTTTTAAGTACATTTAAAAAAAGGCTGAATTAAACATTTTATTTGTTACGTGGCTCAGGGACTGAAAATTAGAAAAGGCCAAACAAAAGTTCTGCTTTTGCTGATTCAGGCCCATTTTTAAAAACATTCATTTTGCCCCTAAAAGACTTACTATCTTATAAATTTAAACACGGTCATCAGAAGTTCTTTCAGTCCGTATGCCGTCGTTTCCAGAAGAATTTGCATCGGCGAAGGTGTTTCTGCAGAACTTTTGCATAATGAGCCGTTTTGTGTGACGAGTCCCTGAAGGTGCAGAAGCCGGAGAACAAAGAAGTCGTTCCAGCAAATACCGAACACCGAACCTTTTTCTGTTTCACTAGTGAGCAAGCTGTTGTGGAAGACGGAAAGCTTGGAGATACTTGGCCCGGCACCAGCTGAGGGATGGACGCCGTCCGATTGATGAAGGAGCTGAGGGCGAACTACGACCAGGAGGTGGATTATCTCCCTAAAGAGACGGGGCTGGACCTCATCGAGTCCGCAGCGGAGGTGAGGTTCGCCGCAGAGCCGGCCGCTTCTGATCACACCGGGCAGATTACAGAACCTGTTTGGTCTCCAGGGCGGCGTCTGGATCTCGGCCCGGTGCAGAGATGCCAAAGTGGAGGATCTGTGGAGTCTGACCAGCTTCTTCGGTTACAGCACGCAGACCTTCGTCCTGGCCGTGAACCTGCTGGACAGATTCCTGGCCATGATTAAAGTAAGACTCGTCTTGCAGATGCACTGATCAACACACTGACCACTTCTCTGTCACTACTTGTGATTCCTCCGTAGGTTAGAGAATTGTAAAACGTGCAGCTCCGTTAGGACCAGCGCGCTTCCACTTCTGGTCGTAAACAAGCGTCACGGAGAGTTCAGCTGAGATTTCGAGACCTTTAATAGTTTTTACATAAAGTTTTAAATTTCGAAGATTTGACCGCAGAACGTTCAGCTCAGACTTTTAAAATCAACCTTCAGACAGTTCATAAAGCGTGGGTCACCCGGCGTGTCTCTGCGTCGGGACGTAGTTTCCCCTCAGACGTCCTTCAGAGCGCATCGAACGCCCAGACTCCGTTGACTGAGCTCAGACTTTTCTTTTCAGGACAGAAAATAAAAGCACAACAAAATAACAACAACGTATTGGAGGTTCTCAGAGAAACAAAAAGAGAGTGAACTAATAGAACATTTGCCAGTTTAACATCTTAAAGGTGGACCTCTGAGCATCTGTGTCCCCCTGACCCAGGTCCAGCCGAAGCACCTGTCCTGCGTCAGCCTCAGCTGCCTCCACATGGCGGCCAAAGTGACGGAGGACGAGTGCGACCTGACGCCCACTGACGAGCTCATCCGCATCGGACAGTGCCGCTTCACCGTGTCCGACCTCTGCCGCATGGAGAAGATAGTCTCGGAGAAGCTCCGCTTCAAGTCCAGGGCCGTCACCGCCTTGACCTTCCTGCACCTGTACCACCAGATCGCCACGTCCCACGCCACGGACAGGTGAGGGACGCAAAACGAGGCCAAAAAGAAGTCCCACAACACCATTTAGACTTTTTATTTTGCACGACGTGACCGCGGCTAAAGACTCGTTGACCTTTAGTAACCCCGCTCGGTGTGGTTTCTGTGGACAGGAAGGAGCATCTGAGCCTGGAGAAGCTGGAGGCTCAGCTCAAGGCCTGCCTCTGCCGGATCTCCTTCTCCAGAGCGAAGGTAAGACGTCCACCGACGTTTTGACAAAATCCAGCTTCCATGTTTGGACAAAAACTGAACCACGTGTCCCCGCAGCCGTCCGTCCTGGCCTTGTCCCTCCTGCGGCAGGAGATGGGAGCCGTCCGGTCGCAGGACCTGTTGGAGATCGCCTCCCACATCCAGAGACACCTGAAGGTACGTCCCCGGGCGGGGGGGGACTCCTTAACGTCTCACCGGGGAGGGAAACCGTCACCTCCAAATAATATTTTACTTTTTATTTTTGTACTTTTTAGGCACAAAATGGTAAATTTTAATGTTTTAAACTTTAAAAATCTGTGTTCACCTCAGCGCAGGTGAACGGTCTTCTGTTAGCAAAATATCTCCTCAACCATTGGATGGATTTTAACAAAACGTCTACAACTGATTTTTATTTTTAAATAATAAAATGGCTGTTACAGCAAGCTGCACCTGAACATGAGCACCTGGGTGTGGTAGTAGCTGAGGGTCACCCCGAACAGACTCCGGTTTTTATTTTAGACGACAGGAAGTTGTAGGTTTTTTATTTTGTGAGCGGCTCAAGACAGAACGTTTTGTTCCTGAGTTTCCTCTGGAGGTTCTGCAGCGGCCCGTGGGACCAGCTGATCGGGTTTCAGCACAAATCCCCTCGAGCTGCTTCGATCCGTTTCCCTTTAACCTCCTGACCCGAACGACGAGCGGCCCGGGTTCTGTTTACAGCCCGACTTTCAGGAACCGCGCGGCGGACTGCGTCGGGCCCGTCAGAACTCTGGTTTAACGGTGGTTCTGGTTTCAGATCCCGCACGGCGACCTGCGGCTGTGGAGCGAGCGGGTGGCCCGCCGCCTGTCGGACTACGCCTCCCCCGAGTGCAGCCGGCCCGACCACAGGAAGCTGCAGTGGGTCGTGTCCAGGCGGACCGCCCAGAACCTGCACAGCCACCGCAGCGCCCCCGAGCTGCCCACCATCCCCGAGGACCGCTGGGACGAGAGCGAGAGGTCAGAGGTCGCACACACTCAGAGTTAGCGCGTTAGCGGGCGAAAGGTACACAGCCGACAGCTGAAGCTCGCCAGAACAGCTAAATATGAACCGTCAAACAGCAAGGAAGTGAAAAAAAACAGGTTAAATTAATTTAAAACAATAAATAAAACTGTCTGTTTTTAATTTACTCCCAATATTTGTGATTTAATTTTAAATCCGGTCTAAAACGATCAACTTCAGGTTTAAAACGTGGAGAAAAACAGCTGAAACTCCCTTTAAAACTCGTCCAGACTGGAATAAGAGGTTCTGTTCTGACCAACAGAACACGTCATGAGGCCGACACACCTCTGTGTGTCACACTAATCACGTGGTCTCCATGGCAACGAGCTCAGCTGATTTAGTGACAAGTTTGTGTTTTGACTGAATAAAGTGTTGAAACAGAAACAGGAAGTTGCTCAGGAACGTTCTGATCTGTTCCAGCTCAGCGTCACGTAGCCTCGCCCGTCTCACACGATACCAGACACCCCCACGCCCCTCTCCCCTGCTGACGGACGGCTCTGTGACATCACGCGGGGCGGGCCTCGCCCCTATTACGCAACACGAAGTTAAAAAACAAGACGTGACCTCAGCTGAACTCAGAACATCAGCTGATGAGTTTCAGACAGGACGTTTCAAACAGACGTCACTTTTCTACGCTCTACTTTTAATTATACTTTATTTTATCTATATTCTCTAATATTTCTCTAAATACAAAATAAAACTGTTGTGAGGTTTGTGAGTCGGAAACACACACAGAACAAGATTTAAACCTTTAAAACACGCCTGAGATCATCAGCGCTAGTTTTTAACTAGTCACTCCTAAATCCACCAGGCAGATTTAAAATCAGGCATATCTGTGGACAGCTCACACTCCACAGAAATCTAACCAGATTATAAAGCTAAATACAGTTTTTTGGTTTATTTATTTACCTAAACAAACATGTTTACAATCAATCATAGAGGAGGGAATCTCTAAAACAAGTGATGGATTTAAGTGTGACTTGTTTTAAATCCCCCCCCCCCCCCCTTTACATTTTATGATTAAAAGCCCCAAATGATCACAGTTAGCTTTGATGCTAACTTAACATTGAAAACGCCATAGGAAGGCTAACACGATTAGCATCAGTTCATCACTTGACATTTAAAGTCGTGTTCTGATAAACTTTGGTCAGAGCTGTGGCTACAGGAAACTACGGCAAGTCTACTGGGACACACAGTGGTTGTATCAGTTCTTTATTTATTACGATGTAGAATCTGCTTCAGGTCAAAAACAGATCATTTTTTTATCTTCCCAAAACTTTATGGCAGGGCTATTCAACTGGTGGCCCTGGGGCCGAATCAGGCCCACGGGTGAGCTCGGTTCGGCCCATCAGTGGATTCATGTTTAAATAAAACTAGATTTTAAACGATAAAATAAATTAACTGCTGGATGTCCAGCCCCTGAGCAGTTCAGTTGGATAAAAATAATAATTGTTGTAATTCGCCTGATTCGTGGATTTTTCTGCACCTGTGACGGACTCGTTCTTTGTTTCGCCCACAGCGAGGACTCGAGCGAGGACGTCATGAGTTCGGGGGAGGAGTCTCTCAGCAGCTCTCTGGGCAGCGACGCCGAAGGCCCCTTCTTCCCGCTGCACCTCCGCCGCCAGAAGCCTCCTCCCGCCTCCTCCTTTTAATTCACCGTTGGAAACGCACAACAGCCGAGCGGTCCTCCTTTCAGACTGTTAGTATTTTTTAAACTCGTAGCGTGTGGAGACGTGACATTCCAGGACACTGCGCCGCCCGGCTCCTTTAAAACAACCGATGATGTCAGAGCAGGCGGCGGCGGCGAGAACCTGCCAAGACGTTCACGTGAGGACGAGCGACCGTTTTAGAGTTCTGTTTATTTTGCACAGTTTGTACGTCGGTGACCCGAGTGTTTGCGTTCATGGATCTGCGGGTCCTTCGATTTAAAAAGTTGCCAATTTAACGATGTAGCTCAAACCGTGCAGCTTTCGGCTGTTTTGTTTTACGAGACGAAATCATGTTGAACGGGTGTTTAAAAAAAAAAAAAATTTAAAAATGTGTAAAACTGTAAATGATGTACAAAAAAAAGCTGTTAATATTTCTCTGTAGATATTTTAAGTTATTTGTTTCTTTTTTTTGTCACGTGCTAAAAAAGAAAATCTTATTAAAAAAAAAGCTATTTTTAAACGTTTGTTTTTCTCTTTTTTTTAATAAAAAAATCTGCGTGGATAAGTTTTCTCTGCTCCAATAAGGAGTTTTAATTTGTAATGATATATAAATATATTTAGTTTCTTGTTTTCACGGGGCGTGATTATAATCCTCGACTAAAACAAGAACCAGGTTTTCTCGTGATCAGATATTTCCAAACGTTCACCCGAACTCCTTAAAGGTTCGTGATCATGATCGAACGCAGGAAGCACTTTATTTATAAAGCACTTAAAACGGCAGCAAGGACAACCAAAGTGTTTGGGTTGGTTGTTGAAGAACCAACGTTCCAGCCTGCCGTAAACCAGAACCACCAAAGAGTCCCGGTTCACAACGAAAAACCTCCGCCTGGACTGAAACGTGGACGAGACGAACGTCTTCTGGAGACGCCAAGGACGATTGGAGGAGTCGACTCTTTAACTTTATTAAATTGAGTTTTGAAAAGAAGTCGCATCAAGTCCTGCCGGGTTGTTGTTGAAAACCTGGAGGACCAAACAAAGACCGTCCACGATGAACCGCCATGTCGAACTCGAGGCCCGCGGGCCAAATGCGGCCCTTGGTAACATCTCATCCGGCCTTAGGGCTGGGCGATAGCTCGATATTTAAAAATATCAAGAATTTTTTTGCAACTAACTCGATATAAACAATATAGTTTTATACTTGAAAATCCTCCTGCTGCCTTAAAACAAACCACAGGTCAGAGGTCATTTAGCTTTAGAAGATGTTATCATATCGCTAAAGACACGGTCCTTAGCGGCTAACAAGATGGCTAACGCTTTAGCCGTCTTGTTCCACAGCTGAGACTGACTGACTTTATCGATATGATAACCTGCTGATTTATTAAAGTCGCCACCGCTCTGCTCCTCACAAAGCTCAGCTAAATGACCTCTGACCCGTGTTTTAAGGAAGGAGGCTGTAAAAACAATCGGAGCTGCAGCTTCCCGGTTCAGAGAGGAGGCTCACCTTACTGCAGTTCACACGCTTACTAACGTGAAGGCTCCTTTCTATCTCATCAACACTCAGAGCTCTTTACAACAATCTGTGCCTCATTCACCCATTCATACAGCTCTATACTAGATCTCAGCAAAGATTAATCAGAGTTTTAGACACACAGAGGCAATGAGGGGTTCAGTGTCTTGCCCAGGGGCACTTCAGCATGTGACTGCTGGTGGAATCGAACGCCCCGCTCTCCTATCGGAGGAGACTGCTCTAACCTCTCAGCTGACGAGGATTATTATTTAATATATGTAAATAAATGTCTAAAAAATAAACATATGTATGTAAATAGTTTATTTTTTAGACATTTATTTTGTAGTTACAGCTGTTTGTTAATAAATGCGCCTGTGAGACAACTGGGATAGCTTTGACTCTAACAAATATTTTTGTTATTTATGGAAAGAAAAATATATCGAGATATCGTAAATCGCGATTTATCATAAAATATTGAGATATTAATTTTGGTCCATAGCGCCCAGCTATATCCGGCCTCCAAGATATTTTTAAGTAAAATATTGTTGTTGCTTCTCACGGTGCATAAAAACCGAGCAGACTTTATTTGTTGCACGCTTCACAGAACAGTCGAAGCTGGTCTGAATTTATCAGTGAGCTCCGGTTCTGACGCGTAAAGATCGACAGCTGACAGAAGTCAGACTCGTTGAGGAACCCACGGTCAAGGAAAGACGGCGGGAACCAGTCTGGACTGAAGCTGGCCCTTAGTTAAAAAAAAAAAAAAAAGGGTTTTAACGTTGGCTTCCTGACACGTCAGTGTTTCTCCTACGTCATACAAGCAGGGCACCCTGCCCCGTCAACACAACCGAGAGCCCTGCATCAGGGTTGCCAGATACATTTAAAATGTCTTATTTACCCCCTCCTTTTCTGTGCACATGTGCAACAAACACAACACACACCTCGTCTAAGAATATCTTTTCTCAGCACATATGACAGTTTAGGTCAAAATACTTTTTAAAGCCACAGTACTATAGTTCATTTCTTATCTGGCAACCCGACTGACATGGAAACTTCAGCATTTTCATGTAAACCCACTCATGTTTTTGTTTATTACCTTCAATAAACATTGAAAAACACTAAAGTTTCCAGAGGTTGTTCTGTGTAAACAGCAGGTAGATCACTTTGACTCACAGGCTGAAAACATCTGGACACCCCCGAGCTAACAGCAGCCGAAGCCAACGGGAAAACTAAACGTGACGGTTCGTTTTAATTCATTCGTCCCGTTTGTTTTAGTAAAAAACAATCAGATGTAGAAAAGTAAATAAACCTCAGAAGAGGAAGCTGTTTGGAGAATCCAATGAAAAGATCCCCTTTCTTTAGAAAAACAGATTTATTTTTTCTCTCTGCAGCTCACAAACAATCATAAACAACTTTGTTTGTTTGTTTATTAAAGCCTCGACGGGTCGCTCATCTCAAAAAACAGAAATCCAGCTGCTAAATCCTCAGTTCTGGTCTGAAACACGCTTCAAACAGAGACGAGACAAATCAGTCCTACCACACAGAGACAGTCCGGACTCGGAGACGATCCTCCTCCAGGCGCCGTCTGGTCCTTTAGATCCAGTCTGGGTGAAAATAAAAAACCTCCGACGTGGGTCACAAATCCAGAAACTCCAAAAGACCCGGTCTCTGACGGACAAACGGATCAGAATCCCATCCGAGGTTTCTTCTTCTGAGTTTGAGACGCCGCCCTTCGACGCTGCGACGCCTGCGGGGACGTGAGAAAGTCTCTGGACCAAAGCGAGCCGGTACTTCTCAGGGGGACGGGCTGGGAGCTGTGGGCCTGAGAGGTCGAGGCGGCGCCGGGAGGACAAAACGGGTCATCTTGTGACGGGTCGTCCTGGAAAAAGAAAAAAGGTCACCGTGAAGAAAAGCACAAAACGCTTGACTTCAGACGACTCGTCGCTCCGAGACGACTTGTGACGTTTAGGACACGACGCGTCTCGTCCGAGGAGCTCCAACAGGTTTGAAAACGCTGCGAGTAAACCGAGCGCGATAAAGAACATCGTCAGTGACCCTCAGGAGGCGAGGTCGTTCATTTTAACCGTACGGTCCACAAAGGAAACATTTTAGTGACTGTGTTTTATTTTAGGGGTTGTGAGATCTGGAAACACTCAGATGTCCCAGCTTTTCACCAGCCTTGAACGCAGCATTACATTAAAGGACTTACCTGTGTGTCCATCAGAGAGCTCAGGTAGTCCTTGGCTGGACGTTTTGTCCTCTGACTGGACGGTGTGGTCTCGGGGTGTCTGGTGGAGGACGGGGGGGCGACACGAGGCCTGCTGGGAGTTTGCTGCTCCTCCTTCAGAGGCGTGGGGGTCAGGCTGGGGGGTGGGGAGTCAGTCTCAGTGTGAGCAGGCGTTGAGGGCAGGTCACTCTTCAGAACCATCTCCAGCTGGGACAGCAGCCCCCGCTCCTCCTCGTCTGACCACGCCTCCTGGCTCGTGACCGACGACCAACCCGCCGAGCTGGAGAAGTCGTCCAGCTCCACCTGGTAGCTGACGGAGGAGGTGAAGCTCCCGCTCAGCTCCAACTGTTGCCCCGCGGCTCTCCTCACCTCCTTCTCCCGCCTCCTCTTCCTCTTCAGAGCCTCCGTCTTCCACTTCCTGTTCAGGCCCAGCTGGTCGTGCCACCACGCCCTCCACGCCTCCTCGCCCTGCCAGGAGACGCTCAGCCGGCGGCTGAGCTCGTCCGTCCACTCCTCGGGGTCCACGGCGTTTGGCACGGGCTCCACGCCAGGAGCGGCGTCGGAGCTGTGGAGGAGCAGCGAGCGACTCGACATGCACGACCTCATCGCCTCCCTAAGGTCTTCCTCCGCTGCTCCTCGCGTCTCCTTGTCAGGAGCCGTCAGCAGACCTTTGCGCTCGGCCGTGAAGAGCTCCGAGTCGAGCTTCTTCTTGCCGCTCCTGCGCACGAGCTTCTGCAGCCAAACCTTCCACGTGTGGAGAGTTCTGCTGCTGAGCGCCGACGGAGTCCGCTCCCTCCTCCTGCAGGAGCTCCCTCCGTCCTCCTCGGCTCCTCCAGCAGCCTCCTTTGGATCGGCTGCATCGGGCTCGTCGTTAACAAAAACCTGCAGCTGCAGCAGTTTGAGGCGCCGAGCTCGGCCTCCTGGATCCTCGGAGGAGTCGGAGTCCGCAGCTTCGGAGCGTTTCAGATGCGCCTCCTCGTCACGCGACGTGTCCGACCCAACCAGCCGAAGCTCGGCTGGCTCCGAGGCGTCTCTCTGTGGCACAGCTTGGTCCACAGAGTCCTGGTTCTGCTCCAGGACCTGATAGAAGACATCTCCGGCCTCCGTCAGCTGCAGGACACACACGCGCTCCCCGCCGCCCGGGTCACTTCCCGAGTCCTCCTGGATGACCGTCAGACCTGAGGACGAGGGAACAGACATCAGCTAAAAGCTAAAACTCCGTCTGACGGCGTGTTCGGCGTTACCAGCTGCAGGTGCGCTGAGTCTGTTGGTGGTGACCTCCAGGCGGTGAGGGATCTGAACCGGGAGGTGTCTGAGACTGTCTCTGGGTCGGAGGAGAGCCCGAGGAGGACCGAGGCTGAAGCAGGCCGTGGCTCGTCCTCCTGAACACACAAAAATCAATAATCAATCAATAAAACTAAAAGACGAGCACGCGTTAGAGGCCGAATAATCCAAACCCCAACACGACCCGGTTCTGGTCTGATGGGGGTCACTGCTGTCATTTTATCGCTCAACAAACATCCGTGATTTGTTTCCCAAACCGTCGCACGACTCTCGGCTACTTCCTCCTCAAGTTTTAGCTCAGCGTCTGTAAAATTCACAAATTAAATTAAAATGTGATCAGCAGAACGCTAGCTAAAAGCTAAATGGAGCAAAATGTCTCTGAAGACAAGCCCAAATTGCTAAAAGGCTAAACGCAAATTGTTGGTTAAAAAATGCTAAATGCTAGCTAAAGGCAGCAAATCGTTAAGGGCGAAGAAGCAACATGCTAGCTAAAAGTTAAAAGAAGCAAAATGCTAGCTAAAAGAAGGAAAACACTAGCTAAGGGCTAAGAAGCAAAACGCTAGCTAAAGGAAGCAAAACGCTAGCTAAAATAGCAAAGCGTTAGCTAAAGGCTAAGAGAAGCAAAATTATTTTTAATGGCTAAGAAAAGTAAAATGCTAGCTAAAGGCTAATCTTTGTGTCTTCCACTGTCAGGTGGCTGTGGCGGCCATCTTGAATTGGGTTGGCTCCAAAAGTTCAGCAGCCGTAGCTGCTCATCCAGTGACTGACCGAGAGGCGGTGCTACAGGTTAGTTTCTGTACCGGTTGCCACGGCGATCATTCAGAAAGCCACTTTATGACCCAAAAGCCGGCGACCTTAATCTGAACTCCAGGCCCCGCCCTCTTTCTGAACTCACCTGAGTACTGAAGCAGCGTGACCTCCTGAGGACTCTGGGAGCCGAACAGAACGTCGGCGGCTTCACTCCCAGCGGAGCGTCGAACCACCTGACAGAAAATGGGCGGGGCTTTCATCATGTGGTTCAACTTCAGCATGGGCACGCACGTGAAGCGCTCGTCCATGACGTAGGCCGAATACTGCCAGACCGAGAGGTCAAAGTTAGAACTCAGCCCGGACGGGTTCTTTTAAAACCCGCCAGAGGTTCGGAAGATTTCAAAGTGGGTTCGGTTCGCCGGACGCACCTGCGTGGTGACGAGGTGATGGAAGGCGTGCACGTCTCCCAGGTACCTGGACTGAAGGAGGCGTTCTCCGCTCCGGCACTCAGAGGCGCTGCTGATCCGAAACAGAGTGATGCCAGAACCCGGCGCCGCCTGGAAGCAGAACAGAACCACCTGAAGGTTTGTCCAACTCCTTTCACAGACCTTCAATTATTTTAGCTGCTTTAGGATCAAAACCCAACTTTAGCTACTTTTACTTTCCTGCTAAACTTTCCTTCAAAAACCTCAAAACTAACTTTGTGCTACTTTAGCTCAAATTTGGCTTATTTAGCTTTTAGCTTGCCTTTTGCCACTTTTACTTTTCAGCTAGCCTCTGCTACATGTAGCTTTGAACTAGCTTTTAGCTACTTCTAAGGACCATTCTGCTACTGTAAATTTTCTTTTTGCTGCTTTTAGCTAACCTTTTGTCACTTTTCCTTTTAACTGGACTTTGCTACGTTTAGCTACCATGCTGCTACTTTTAGCTCAGGCTTTGCTACGTTTAGCTACTGCACTGCTATGTTTAGCTGACCTTTTGTTACTTCTAGCCTTTTTTTACCCGATGTGTCGCGGTCGTGTGACACACAGAACGGGACAAACTGGCTCCGGACCTCACCCTGACATCAGTGAGCTCCGACCCGGTTCTGTCTGCGTACAGAACCACCCTCGGATGAGCGGAGAACTCGCACCACCGCCACGACGATTTGGCGTTGAAGTACAGGTTGGTGTCTTCAGCTCGGACCTTCTGCAGCCTGAACAAATAAAACTTTATTGATTGATTATCGGGTTCGGCTCATCCAGCGGCAGGCGGACCTCCTCACCCTCGGCCGACGGTCCACAGGTTCGCCGTCCCGCTCTCGCTCGCCACCAGAACTTCACCTAGAACATGCGGACTGACGACAGGACACAGAGTTGGTTTGATGCCGCCCTCACAGGAAGCTCCGCCCACGGCGCACCACTGACCTGACGCTCACGCAGGTGGCGGCCTCTCTGGTGCCGACCACCTGCAGCAGACGAGGTCCGCTCGTTTCGCTGACCCTCCAGACTCCACAGAGGTAATCCGAGCGCACGGCCACGCAACCTGAGACACACGGAACCATGAGACCTCAACCGGACCGACCCGTGGACCTGCTCCCGAAGCCCCGCCTTACAGTCGTTGAAGAGCGAGGCGTGGCTGATCTGTCTGACCGGAGCCTTCAGCTGGAAGCTGTGAGATGCTCTGCTCTGGAGGTCCACACCGTGCTGCCGCAGCGCCACCCGGTGGAAGGCTGAGGACCTGCGGTAAGGATCAGAACCTTCGGCAGAAGATCAAATTCTGACTCGACGTTAGGACCGAGCAGTAACTCTGAAGGATACCGAGGCAGTCCAGACCCGGTCCTCCAGGACACACGAGGCAGCCCCCGCTCCGTGAGAGTGGGACAAAGGCCAGAGCGCCCCCGGTGGTTCTGTCGGAGAACTGCAGGCGGTCCCGCTGCTCCGTCAGCTCCTCGTGCAGCAGGGAGCCCAGCAGGTCTGGGGGGACGTCAGGCACCACGTCCGACAGCAGGCCGCAGTACGAGCCGAGGGAGGAGGAGCGGAACCTCTGGTGACACCTGCAGGGACACAGACCGCCGACCCGGATCAGAACCAGCCTCCGAACCACAACAAGCCGAAGAGTCTGACTCCTCAGCTGCGTCGGCTCAGAGCAGCCGAAATGTTGAATTAGTAAAAACTTGGTGATCAAACGAGACGAACGCTGAACACCTTGACTGAAATCAGCCGAAGACATGGAGACCAAGTTGTAAAAGCTAAAAAATAAAAAAAGATAGCTAAAAGCTAAAACAAGCACAACGTACTAAAGGCTAAGAGAAGCAAATGCTAACTAAAAGCTGAGAAGAGCAAAAGGCTAAGAGAAGCAAAATGCTAGCAAAAGGCTAGAAAGAGTAAA